GAAAGAAAGAAAGAAAGAAAGAAAGAAAGAAAGAAAGAAAGAAAGAAAGAAAGAAAGAAAGAAAGAAAGAAAATAGGAGAGCAAAGCTGGGCCAGACAGTCAGAGATACCTTGTATCTGAATTCAAGCCCCAGTACCAGCATAAAAAAGGGAGGAAGGAAGGGGAGTGGAGGGGTAGGGGCAGGAGAGGAGAGGACAGGAATGGGTAAGGGAAGGGAGAAGAGAGGGGAGGGAAATAATGATAAAGAATTTGAGTAGTGCTGTGGCTAAGATCTGAGGATCACGGTTCAAAGCCAGCCTGGGCAGCAAAGTCTGTGAGACTCGTATCTCCAATAAACCACTAGAAAACCAAAAGTGGTGCTGTGGCTCAAGCAGTAGAGCGCTTGCCTTGAGCTGAAGAGCACAGGGACAGTGCCCAAGCCCAGAGTTCAAGCCCCACGACCCACAAAAAAAAAATAACAATAATAATAATAAATAAATAAATTTTAAAAATTGAGTAGCCATCTGCTAGAGGCTCAAGCCTGCAATCCTAGCTACTCAGGAGGCTGAGATCTGAGGATTACAATTTGAAGCCAGCAGAGAGGAAAGTCAGTGAGACCTTTGTCTCCAGAAGTGGAGCTGTGGTTAAAGTAGTAGAGGGTTAGCCTTAAATTAACACAAAAGCTCAGGGACAGCATCCAGGTCTTGAGTTCAAGCCTCAGGCCTGGCACAAAAACATAATGAAAGAACATGAGGGAAAGAAGCGATTGCCCTATTTCTTCTAAGGGAAAAGAAAGGTGGATCTACCTGAGGACATTAAAAATAGGACTGTGCAAATAAAATAGACAAGATAACATTTACATTTTCCCTCTAGCTAGCAGGCTCCCCTGATAGCTATGCATTCAGCCCACATAACCCAACTACAGAACAAGATGATGAAGGCATACTTACCCATCCTTCAGCTCCTCTATAACATGAAATTGTGAAGGTACTATGTAATAAGCAGTAATTTAGGGACTGTTTAACAAGGTCAAGACTGGGCTGATAGCCAGTATCTGGGAAGCAATAATGTTTGCTACCCCAGAAGCCTGAACTAATGATGGCTGCTCCAGTGACAGTACTTATTGGTAACAGGCACTGTGCCGAGTGCTTCCTGAGCCTTCTCCAATTCGCACATCTCTAGTTCCACATAAGAAATGAAGAAGCCAAAATAAAATTTAAAAAAAAAAAAAAAGAAATGAAGAAGCCAAAGAGGGAAAAGGTCAAGGACGGGGTAGGTATGACCCAACCAGAAACAGAAGAAGTGAACTTGAACGCACCAAAACCTGAATGGACTTCTTTAAGTGCTAACAAAGTCTCACTTCACTACATTTATTATGCAAATTATACTGGGTAAACATCTCCAATTACAACCTGGAGAATGCCTATACATTCACTTGTGTTTTGACCTTGTACTGTCCCAGGCGGTCTTTTTTTTTTTGTCTCAATGAATAAAAATTAAATAAATCAGCTAGCACTTAGTGTTATAAGAAAACAAGATTTACTAGCTTGCACTCTGAAGGTGCAAGCCAAAATCTATAAAAGGTTCCAAATCAAGTTTAAGCATTCCCAAAAGAGACATCTATTTTTCTGTTTAAAAACTCTCTGGTACATATCTTTACATAAAAGAAAAACCTGCTATCATTCCCTAACACCAATATTCTCATCATAAACTACCATTACAATTTATAAAAATAACATTTTTAAAAAAATTAGTAACCAGTGGGACATTGATGGCTCAGGCCTATAATTTTAGCTATTCAGAATGCTGAGATATGAGAATCAGGATTTGAAGTCAACCTGGACAAGAAAGTCTGCGAGATTCTTTATCTATAATAAACTTCCAAAATGTCAAAGTGGAGCTTAGGCTCAAGTGATAAGAAAGTCAATAGAAAATCACTAATAAAATCTCTCAATTCATACGCAGTCACTGTTAACTCGGGCCTGTATTCTTAGCTATTTAGGAGTCTGAGATCTGAGGATTGGGGTTTGAAGTCAGCCTGGGCAGAAAAGTCTGTGAGACTCTTATCTCCAATTACAAACAAAAATGTGGAAGTTGGGCTGGGAAGGTGACTCAGTGGTAGAGTGCTTGCCTTGCATGCCTGAGGCCCTGGGTTCGATTCCTCAGCACCACATAAACAGAAAAAGCCGGAAGTGGTGCTGTGGCTCA